TTTTTTTTTTTTTTTTTTTTTTTTTTTCTTTTTAACGAACGAACATACAGACACACGGAAAAGAGTACGCACGGAGTACCTCAAAGAAGCGAAAGATTATTTATTTGATACGAAATGAATGACTTGACTGAAAGAAATAAATAGATTTGTTTGGTACAACAGAAACTAAGCTTGATTCGACGTTTTCAACGTAGCACAACACTTTTTGTTGAGAGACACATTCCTTTTTCCCATACAATAAATTACTATTCTATCTACTTCCTCGTGATTGATAAATAAAAAGAAATTATTTATCTAATAGATATAGACTCGATTGGAATTCTCTAAGAATTTTATCGGTTTCTTAACTTTCTTTAGATACATAGAATCATTGCTTTATACTATTCTCATTTGGAATTATCCGATATATTATTACCATCCTTGAATTGTTCCTTGTGTTTCAAAATAAATATTTATTCCGTTCGAGAATTTAATAAAAAATAAGACAAATTTTACGTAACGTAACTTTTACGTATTTTTATTATTAGCAATTTACTATATTTTATGCACTTTCTATACTCTTCTATAATATTTTATCTTAATAATTTCCAATATCTCTTTTTTAATCTCTAACGAAAGATAAACGGAATATAAGATAAGATGAATCACAAAATTCAAACGTTTCGTTTAACACGAAAGTATTCACGGAAAATTGATTTCTTATTTAATACAATTCTGTCGATGATCAAGTTACGTTAATTTCTCATTCCAGTAAGTAAACGATCACCCTTTTTCGTGTCGAATTAATTCGTAATACTAAACAAAAATACATAGAATGAGTTTACAATGATTCGTTGGACGATTTTAATAATAATCGTGTCCTAATCACCTTCTGCGAAAACGGAAAAATGAATCATAGCGCAATAAAGGGGGATCGTTAATCGAACATCAAACATTTTTCTACGTAGCAGGTGTGCCAAACTGCGAGGAATAAGTCAACTGTGTTTGATCAAGATTGGCACGAGCAATTGGTTGTTGGTCTACGTCTACTCTTCTCACCCGCGTTTGAAGGACTCGTGATAGAAAAAAAAAAAAAAAAAAAAACGCGCACTTGAAGATGCATCGATATATGTGTATCGTGATTTACCAGGTCAGTTATCACTTACCACAAAACGTCATTGTACGATTAGCATGGGCCCGTTTTTGACGTCATTATTTCATATAAATGCTGCAAGAATGCATTGTCGGGGCACAAACTTGTTGCAGAGCTGTTTCGAGCAGATTTGGTGACTTTTTTTTATAGGAGAATCGATCTGAAAAATACGCAAAGTATTGTATTCTCTTTCTTTCTTTCTTTTTTTTTTTTTTTGTTTTTTATCTTTGTCGAACGGAGAAATTAAAGATTTGTATACCTTAAAGCATTCTCTTCTTGAAAAAAGTGTTGTGAAGCTTGAGAATTGGGAGAGAATTGATTTTCGACTTCGAGGAAAGGTTTCACTGATAAGATGGTAAGATCACGAGAATATGTAAGAATATGTTGGAAAAAAATTATTAAAATAAAACAAAAAAATAAAATTCTATATTTTCTTTTTTCAGAAGTCGATCGTAATTGTCCATCTTCTGGTTCTTCTTGGCTGCTGCGCCGCATTTCCGGTCAAACCGGAGGACGATACCAGTCCACTCGTCAATCCAATTTTCCTCCAAGAACCGACTAATCTTGGAAACAAAGTTGAAGATAATTCATCTCCAGTGGCGTACATACTTTTTCTGAGCAAATTGGATGGATCGAAAAGAAACTTCGATGGGATTTCGATGGAGAAACGCAACGTGGTGGAAGACGAGGATCTCGAACCAGCAGCTGGTACTTATGCTCTTCGACCACTCTTCGTCTATCGACAACAAGTGGCGTACAGGCAACGACTTAGAAATAGTCGTCAAGGAAATGGTTTCTGAATGGCGTTAATGGCGTCGTTTTTTATAATGTTGACAACTTGATGCAATGAAAAGGCAGCAGATTTGAAAATTAATGAGAGCTCTGGTGATTCTTAAACGGATATTTATGAATGTATATGAATGAAAAGAAAAATTGAAATCCGTTTATTTCGGATGATTGGAACGAACTTGATAGAGAAGAGGAATTTTCATAGAAAGGATTTGATTTTCACTTCAAAAAGATTTAAGATTCTTGAAAATTATCAATTCTCGAAGATGAACTTCGTATTATTATTATTTTTTATCATTAAGAAACTTGATGAAAAATCATCAAAATGATGAAGTAGATTGGTCTTCAAGAAGACTGAGTCAGTTAACTTGCTAATGGAATAAGTATAAATAGTGGAATTGTTAATTGGATTGCAAACACGTGATCAACATCATCTCTATGAGTATCATTTCTACTCAGAAAATAGAAACATCTGATATTTCTCTAATGTTTTATGAGATGGGATACAAAATTATTTACATTATTTTTTACAAGATAAAATCTTAGTTTATAATATTATGTAAAATAGTAAATCAATATCAAACTTATTAAATTAAATCTTTAGCTTTAAAGAAAAACTGCCCACCAAAGTAAACGTAATAACAAAAAATAATATTAAGTTAAGTGTACTATTTACAATATTATTAATGTGTTATTTTTGTAATATAATTTTTTTATATTTTCTTGTGTAGTATTCAATAAATATGTAATGATAAATTGTAATGATCTAATACTCAATAAATTTCATTTTTCTTGTATATTCATATTTATTGCAAACAACAATTAATTAATTACAAAAATGTTGCCATTGGTTAATATTTTTAAAAAGAAGATATCATTTCCCAGGGAATACAGGAATCCTTATAAAATGATGAGAAGGTTCTCTTTCATAACTGGACCAATATCTTTTGTCAAAAGAGGGCTCTCGATACCAAGAAGGATACAGTCCACTCCTATCCTCAGATTCGTCTGAAAATCTTGTATTCCGTTGTTCTCTATCTTCAACGTTTGTTGAATCTGTTTCTGCAGGATCAAGTTCTTTAGAAGATTCCTCGTTCGAATCTTTATTTGTTGAAGTTTCTTCTTCTAAAATTTCACACTCATTGTATACACATTCATCCGTACTTGTTCCCATTTCTTGATTAAAAGTATCATCCTGCGAAGATGTACTTGGATTCTCTTGAGGATAATTATCCTCTTCGTTATCTCGTCTAATACGATTCCAAGGCTCCAAAACAGAGTTTTGCATTGATTTTTCAAGTATGACCGATATCTTTTGGCCTTTTTCTTCTTCTTCATCCGTTTCATTTCTAGCTTGTTCAATTTGTTCCAATTTCTTGTCTATATATTTTGTAGTGTCGATAACAGATAGTTCTGACGTTGAAGATGCTGATTCTTTGCAACATGTTTCAGAAACTGATCTGTTTTCTTTCAAAGAGGATGATGGTTCTTTTTTCAAACTTGAATCATTTTTTAAAACGCCATACATTGTATTTATGTTATTACTTTTCATGAGATAAGAAGAATTATGATTTACATTCAAATCAGAAGTATCGGTATCTGAGGATGGCATCGAAGAAGTTTCTATTTCCAAATTGCTGCATTCGTGTAGCTGAAGAATTTGTAACAAGATGATCAAGATGGAGAAACGAATAAAGTATTCCATATTCTTTATTATCACTGGAACTTCTCAAAAATCGGTATAATTATTGAAATCGTGTTATAAATTGATTTTTGAATTCATCAACAACGATACGAATTGGTCAAATAGTGATAAGAAACTAAGAAAGCGGAAAATAATATTCCTTCTTTTATAGTTTTAGCAGTAACTGCTAAAATGATCGCTAAACACCTCAATATTATTAACAACTTACTAACTGTGAAATTATTGTTGATATAATATCCAATGATCCAAAATATTATGTTAAGTGAATAGTATTGTGCTGTGTCGAAAATATACGTGTACAGAGAAATTTTTACATCGACATTTTCTTCTATTATATAATATTATTTATTATTCTAATTTAATATAATATTTAATCATGGCATATTTCGTATTGAAAAAAAAAAAAAAAGAAATTGGTTTTCGAGTAACGAGAGATGGCATTTCTCGTGGCATCTTTCAGGAAGGAACAATAAATGAGAAATTAAATTCAAAGCGACAGGTTCAAGGTCCAAAGTGATGTACCGCAAGGTTGATACTCACGTCTGTTAGCAGGCCAACGATAATTCTTTGGTATCTAGTATAAAATACGAACGAACCGTTACTGTTAGTCAGAGTTGAAAAGACGTTGTTAAAGTTTTCATCAGAAGAAAAAAAAAAAATATAAGAAACATTGAAAAAGATC